ACCATAGTAATTGGCCTTCGGGCATGAATTGCACTGACGTTATTACTGTCACTGGAAGACATTTGTACAAATGTTCCCGCACCCCTGAGTATGTGTTCCATATGCACATCACGTTTTGGTAAAGCCTATGTTCCGTTCCAACCTTCCCCGACCCCGGCAAATGGCCCCGGACTTATCACAACCCGGCAAATGTACGGTCAGGCCCGGTCACTGATGGATACCGGACTGAACATTAGGGACAATCCATTTTCAAGTGACCGATTGCCAACGCGCTACGCTGTCACGGCTCGCTTGGGCTCCAAGAACATCAGTGTTATCCATAACCGTTATTCAGTGCACGCTGAAACATCGGTTATGTGTGATGTACAAAGGTGGGGACATCATGCTCACCTCACATGTACGACAAGCCATCACTTGCTGGGCTGAGACAAACTTGTCATCAGTTATCTCAGTCTCCCAGCCTTGCCTCTGGCATGGAGAGGTGCTTAGAAGCGATATGGAGGAGAGTTAAACCGACAATACAAATGCTGTTTCAAATTTTAGCTTACTTTCTCTAACCATTAAATCTTTTCTACGTATTAATAAAAGCCGTGAAAGCTATATGTATACCATATAAGCCCCATCCATTGTTGTTTCAAATTATTTCCAAACAGACCACTGTTATCTTGAAAGTTCATCTGCGTTGGTAGAAGCATGGAGGTAGAATGGTAGAAGTCATTATGAAACAAGTTTGAACTGCAATGGCCAACACACAAAAATGGCCATCTACATCAGGGCATTACAACCATCCCTCAACAGAGACGGGGGGCGCCACAGACTTTCTTCAAACTTGTTTCATAAAGACCATATACTGTATTTTCTTGTGGGATAATAAGAACAAAAACTACACAGGCAAATATAAGACACGGCTCAACAGCGTGTAATGCACAACATCGCTACATACATGTCTTGAATGCACAAGTATGGTCTTCACATATTGCATCATAAAGCTACTAGTACTTTGGAACGAGAGTCGTGATGGTAGGATCACCCTACAAGCTAGCAACTCAACCAACCCATCAGAAAGGGCTTAGCGACTACATAGCAGGACGTCCAAGGACAGGCCACTCCGAGATTTCATGTTTATATAATCCTCGACTGATTTGATTGCCATTTATTGTGTATTACCAAGTAGATTTTCTAGGTCAGGTTGCAAGGTCATATAGAGTTACGGTCACTAGTACTCAAAATATCGAGTACCACGATCGAACTATGCATTGAAATTTCTTTGTACAGTACTTTGGCAAATACAAAATTCCAGCATTTCAAGCTCAGTTGAACGAAAGAAAACTTAAATATTGTATCCTTGCGATAACCAAAATGCGGGACAAAAACATTGGCGATTGTAATAAAAGCACATTTAGACGAAATGCTATGCAGCGATGAAAAAAAATATATCTGTTCACTAAAAGAAGAAACTTATGTCGGAGTTCCCCAATGTAGAACATGTATTATATGCACGTATTCTTCAGTCAACCGGCAACCCAGTTGTTGAGAACGTGCCGATCTCTCTTCGTCAAGGTTCCAGCGGCTGGTCGATGCACACGCACGGTCCTGGACTCATGCGGACCCCGTGACCGCAATAACTGTACACGGCGTCTGGTAACGGACGGCCAGGCAAGAAAGTAACCCTTCCTCACGTCTGTCCCTGTTGCACATTAGGCCACAGCACGTAAATTTTATGGATGACATCCTCCGGAAACTACAAATCTAATACGATAGGGAAAATTGTCAAATTCTGACATCATAAACTATGTGAAACAAGAAATGATACCTATATTGCGCAAGGTTTACTGCCAGCTATTACAACATTCATGTCTTACTGAAACAACTTTGAAAAATAAAAGTGTTTAATAACTGTACAAATAGTTTTGAATTACATATGAAAGGAATGAAATACATCACTGCATCAAGGTAAAACATTAAATCAGAGCCTTATCTTCTCTCTCTTCATATTTATCTGCCATCCACGTTCCGGCATGGCAACAGACATCTTCGCCAAATTTCGGCATGTTGACCACTGTCAGAGGGCGACAAAATTTTTTGTTTTTATTTTCCAAAATCAGGCAACAATTAATGCGCGCGCTGATGTCATCCATAAAAATGACTTGCTGTGGCCTCATGTGACATACGTGCGGCACGTAGACCATGCTCATTAACTACAGGCCGGACTTCATTGTTCCAGGGTCGGACATGCATCGATCCAATGGTCTATAACATATATTTGCGGAAATATCTAATTTCGTACCTTAGATGATGAATTGACCTGTGCATTATCATATATCAAATCAAGGGCTTTCCATTATATTTCCAGAACTATGTTACGGAATAATTTCTTGAGTTAATAACAAAATGAAGAAAAAAAAGTCAACTTACAAGCACACATACAAGCCCGGCTTGAAATATGTGAATATTTAACAATCTTCTAATCTTCTAGCTTTTAGAAATCGCCAATAATAGCACTGCTATTGTCGGACGGGAAAAATCGATGCATAGAAATCGATCTAGCACCGGGAACCTCATCTGGCAAGGGGAAACTATTAGAGAAGAACGGCACAGGCTATCAATGCAGATCTATTCTGCAATCAGGGTATCAAATTTTATACAGATTCCTTAGCCACTGCTATATCTTAACTTGATTTTAATTTTGCTTTCTTTTCATGGTGCCTTATCAAATACATGTAAGTGACCCAACAACGGTGGATCGATTTGTTTGATATTGTGTGACACCCCCACCCACTAAAAAGACACCGTGAACTCGTGAAATATCCAAACAACATTGCAGACATGTTACAGATCGACGCTGTACATCACATACACCGTGAATGTACCAAACGACAACCTCTAACGTTAATCACCCGCACACGGCTTTTCTTCTATAACGATAATAGATGTCTGGGGATTTAATGCCCCGTATTTGGCCTCGGCCAGACCCATACAATATAACCAGGCGTAACGCTGACTGTGCGTTACGTTGCGTCAGAGCAGGTAGCTCTTTTCTCTGGCACGAGCAAGGCCAATTCGATTATTTCGACGTAACTGACTCCTAAACTAGTGTCTGGACAGTTTGTGATCCAATGAGTCGTTTTGTGTGCTTCTCCAAAGTTGTACGACTTACCGGCAGACGTGTTATTAGGTGCACAATAAGGGGATTACGAGTTTATCTATACCCAACAGTTGGAGACGCAAAATAAAAGTTCAAGCAATTTGCAGTTTGCAGCTAATTCTTTGCCAACTCATCCAACGAGTAATATCGATCATGACCATGGTCGTTGGATTCAGATAGAAATAAATTCTCCTGGTTGATCATTTGTCATTCAATACTTTTTCTTAAAAATTGGATCCTGAACAGTGAATTTTTTCTCAGAAGCAACAGGTGACACGCGTGTCACAACACTCTGCTCCTCAAGCGATGGAAATTTATTTTCTTATCGCTAAAGATAATCCGTCCGTCCTCCCAACCCACCCCGAGGGGCGCGCGATTCAATCAGGACGGTCGGTATTCATGAGCGGGGTGCGATCCCAACTCCCACCGGCACACTCCGGCGTGACAAGTCATCCATCCTGACTGTCGTTAGATGGAGCTTACAATTCAGATTTTTAACCATCTCTCATTACAATTCAGATCTTAAACCATCTCTCGTGTTAAGCAGTCAACTGAAAGACATTTCTAGACCCAGTAAAGTAGCACTGATGGCTAAATTAAAATGATCCAACGAGAAAACACCAAAACCAAGACCTCAATTTATAAAACTTTTCTCATAAATGGAGGTTGAAATTTTCATCATGTCATATGTATATTAAGCATTTAATGCATGACATGAAAAATTGATTGCAAAATTAAAGCATTCCAGTTATCCGTAATCAAGTGACAAACCTGAGAAAAACTTTGGTGTCTGGTCCTCATCTGACCTATGGTCCATTGTAGCCTGGTACCCAGCCTTGTAGGTGGTGCACTTCACAACTGTAACCATCCTTGCTGAAGAGGACTGGATACCAGGTAAAGTCTGTATACGTAGGCTATGGGCTATGCTGGTGCATTTATTTTATATTGCACTTGTCAAAATTTCACAGATCATGTATTGAAAAATAAATACATTTACATCTTACCTTATCTGGAGCTTTTCTGAAGACCTTCTCTGTGCATCTGCCAAACCAATAATGAACCATCCCCTATCATAAAAGTCTTCAATAGACCATAAACTGTGGTTGGGACATAACTGGATCGATATCTATGAATAATTAGGAAAGTGTTCAGTATATGATCCAGTTCTGACTCACATTGTGTGCTGAATCAATACCTGTATAGACTGTGCTAAAAGCCACAGCAGATGGTTTGCATGGTGTGTTTGCATCCAACAAAACCATGTAATGGTAAAAGACACATATATCAAAGCACACAGTCTTTCTAATCAAAGTAAAATGCTAGAGTTACCATAGATGTCACACTTTTGCATCGTGTAACAACTGATGCAGCAGGTACAGTATGGGACACACATTTACTGTAATTCTCCGTCATTTAAAACAAGCAACACATTGACAAGAATTATTTTATCAAATGTCAACTTTCCTGCAACTATCTATACAACTGTTTTAAATTTCATAGTCAAATCTTTTATCTAAGGCACAATAATAACATCTTTTATATGTGCATTCATTATGAACATTCCTATTAAAAAATGTAAAAGGCATTGTTTGGAATATGCCAATGATATATCTAATAGCTCAATTTGTTGTGATTCAAGACATTTTCATTTTTTGCATAGTTTGTTTTGTTCTATGACTTAACATAGGTTGCAACTTCACTTCTTTAAAAGTTAGCTTTTCTAAAAACAAGTGAAATTTCATTTAAGACACTTTGTTTTTAGATACATACATGTATCTCTCAGAATGAAGAAAATAAAAGTTTATTATGTATAGTAGATCTATACCTTTCTTTATTGCAGAAAAATAGTGTACATTTTGGAAGATGTGAAAGAAAGGAAAGGTTCTGGAGTCTGAAAAGTCATTTCAAGGTCATCTGGCCCAGCCAAACAAATCACCTCGCCGACAATTATCGGCAAACACATTACCAGTCTTCAGCACACCAATATGCAGCCGGCGCGGGAAGGTGCAATGAGACGTAATCGGTGTCTCGTCCCGACGGCACCTCAAAGCCTTCACGGACTTTGTCTCGTGTTTATTGCTTGGCTGGTGAAGAAGTCTGAATCCCACAGATAGATTGGTGTCAGGAAAGCAGGTTAAATGCTATTCACGGTCACAATTCCTCCAGCTTCATTGCGATAGTACAGAGCCTGAAACACAGGTAGATCAGGGCTTAGATTTTCAGTACAACTACATGTATTTCTAACAATGTTTGCTAACATTGTATACCAGAACTTCATGCAAAAGTGTTTCCTTTGTATGTAAACTTCACACAACTTTATGACTTACAGTAAGGTACCTACACAGTAAGTCTGGAGTAGCTATACAATGACAGCATACATTCATCAAGTACATGTACGTACATTTGTATCCATCACTCCATTTACTCTAAGGCTAACATTACAGAAAATAATCACAGTAAGATTCTAACTGCCTTTAACCATTATTTCTCCCCCAACAAGGGATTATTTTAAAAGCTAGCAAAGTATCCTATTCCTTTCTGAAAACAAGGAATGACGTCATGCAGTGCCTTTAAAAGCTTTCCAAGCTGGATGGGAAATTAGGAACGGGTCCAAAAACGGATGGACTTGGCTATATGGCCCCTACAGTTGCCAAATGAAGTTAGACCCAATTTTTGAACTGGGCTTCAGGGAGTGGCAGAACCTGGGCTCATCCGGTCACCTGCTACCATGTCTAGACTGGGGGAAAGCTTCGGGGAAATTAACTCTACTTGACTTTGTTAGTGTTACGTGTAAAGTGTTCTGTGGATCAATAAGACAATTACTGTATGAGGGCGTCACAGAAGTTCTTCATTTGCAACTGCTGAAAGAAAAAAGTTTTTGAATGCAGAGGAGAGCTTCACCTATTGAAAAAGGAAAATTTTTCCACAATATTTCAATGCATCTTATACTCTGGGCACTAAAAGCCGTTTATTTAATGTTAGAAGTGTCTTCCGGAAAACAAAACATGATGACACTGTATTATGAAGCAAATCTGAACATTAATTTCCAACACAAGAATTGGAAATGTACCTTAATTCTCCATACTAAAGGCCTGGCTAGAACAAAACTGGCTCTACTCATACATGTTTATTCTAGGACAATTATTCAGCTCGTAAAATACATCACTATGTCTTTATCTGTCTCATAAAATAGATGATAAGTCTGTAATCTTATAACAACATCAGTCAGGATTCCTCCCCTGCTTGTCTTTGATGAGACACCTATCAGACATATCAGGATGGTCCACGGGGCACGGAGAAAGGGATCATCCTCCTGAATCCCCAGGTTTGTGCTTTGCAGACTGAATGCCTCTCTGTGAATTGGGTGTAATATCTATGGACTGTACCAAATAGTCTGGGGGTGCCTGTTGTATGGCAACATACAGAGAAAAGGGCTGATAATGGTTGTCAGTAGTTGAAATTCTTTTGGTTCTTTCCTTTGTTTTCTGCAATATGTGACTAGTATTATTGCTTGACATATTTTTTCCACAATCTCAGAGGAATAATCTCAGAGGCGTAATCATATTTTTTTCCACAATCTCTGAGGCGCAATCAGTAATTTTAAGCCTATGTAATCCATGCAATTTGTGTAACAAGTACACAAAACCTGGATCTTATTTAAGTGTAACCTGCATGCTTAATTTAATGCAATGCAGAGATGCTGTCTTCCTGAATTTAGCATTAAGTGCTGTCTGGACCACCCCCCACCCCCACACACACTACCACTAAATCCCCACTTTCCTGAAATACTAATTTCATCAAAGTTCTATAGACCAAGGTACAAGGTTTGGCCCAAGTTGTTTTTGTGTACACTGCACAATATGAACCAGTGACCCAGTAAGTGAGAATGTCATGCCAAAGGTATGTCTGCCCACCCGCAACAACCAACTCAACAAGTTCATTAAGATTCTTGTGTCAAAGTCCTTTAGAAAAGAGGTCATCCTCCTGTTAACAACACGTCATATATATGGGAATCGGTGCTCGGGGTTTGTTGACGTGACTGACGACAATTGGCTGTTGTTCAAGTTAATCTACCTCCAGCTCTGGGTCTGGCCTTTTTTGAAGAAGAAGGAGAAATCTGTTTTGGCGGGAGAACTAGTATGTATAAGGGTCAGGGCAGCCAGGTTGCAGCACGTTGTATTGTTAGGTACACATAAGTATACACTAACTGCTAATAATTGAAATACTATGTTTGCTGCATTTCAGTTTGGCATACACTGCACCTGTTAGAACTGTACAATATGTTCTGAAAGAAAAAGGAATTTGTTTTTCTGAGAGCACTGTAAAAGAGGGCAAGGACTGTGACAAGATGAAAAACAAACTACAAAGGTAACATTTGGAAAGTAAATTCATAATGTTTACCTTCAAATGGTCTAGCCTACCAAACTACTGCTCTGTCTATTCTCACTCAAACACATTAATTTTCATATACATGTATATAGTGACCAACCCCTCCAGCACCAGTTACCATGGTGACAGCTATCTTGTCTAGGTCATTGACCTTACTAGGTGTTTGGAGAAGAAGATGAAACAGAGCAAAAACAATGTTTACCTCCTACAAAGGTTAACATAACAATTTGACAAATAGGTTAAAAAAATTAGTATTTAAGATAATTGATATTATATGAAAGGCAGATTCATAATTTTATTTCTCTTACAGGTTTCTACTTTCTAGTTTCTTCTGTCCAATCCTGAATGGAAGGACAACATGAGAAGACAACACCACAGTAACTACACACATGTCAAAAGGTGAAAGGTGGCTGAACCCATTAAGCAGGAAAGTTGTGTAGCCCACCTGTTCTGAATGGAACTGCCCTGAGGCAGATATTATACATGATCCTCCCAAGTGTTATCTACAAAACAGATCTCCCAATTTCAAGCTCTGTAGATGACAGGGGAATGATGTACATAAAGAAGAATGCTGTTGTCTACGACACGTGCCATTCTACTGACATCATGGGAAAAACCTTGACAACAAATCAGGACGGTTGGTGTCTCAAAGGACAGTAGGGAGCCAGTTATTACATACATTTATGTATACATGTACAATGTATGCCCGGGTACTTGAGCACTGTATACTGTAAATTCATCATTCCCTGCATGGCCTTTTAATTAACTTAACTTAGAGGTAGGAGGTGAAAGAACCACTACAATCATTTAAAGATCACAGTCATGTTGAATACCAGTATGTTATCAATGCAAAGGTTATGTTTTTGTGGATGCTTGTCTTTTTAGTTTACCAGCCTTTAGTTATCAGGTTGATATGTACATATGTATCTCATAGTGGGTATGTCTTTCCTCAAAGAGGAATAAGGGACCAAATTTTAGGTCAGATCTGGATTTTGATGCTTTAGGAATTTATGTTGTCAGTCTTGTCTATTGTGTGGGAGATGTGGTTTTGTATGGATCAGTAGTTGTAGGTGTACAAGCAAAACAAAATATCAAGATTGTTGACATGATAACGACTAAAGAAAAGTGGACTTTACATGTTTCTTGTTGTCATCAACAAAGAAAGTGGTTCCTTATCAGAGGGCATCAAATAGTTAACTGTTTATCTTGCATGACTTCTGCAAAGTGTAGGTGTTGTTCTATGTGGGGTATTTAGGAAAATCTGGGTCCACTTTATGTAATGAGTGTTTTTACACACCTGTTACGTACGATGCTTATTCTTTTAAGGAGGGATACTTTGAAGGCTATGACATGATTGAAATCGAAATAAAGAAATGGCAAGTAGCATTTCTTATTAAGAATGGTCCTTGCCTACAGTTTGTATGTGATAAATGCCGAACAGTTATTAGGTTTTTAAGGACCAATTCTGGTGACTGCCTATTTCCATTCATACAATGTAGGACAGTTCAAAGAGCAAAATGGGGAATCTGGGTCATTGAACTCAAAGCACTAAAGACCACCTAATTCTTTTAGACCTTAGAAGTGTGAGAGAGCACCTAACAGCATGGCACTTTGCAACATGAACATGACTTGAATGAAGAAACGTAAAGACATGTTTCCACACTACTGTAAATAGTGATATTTTTGCTGTGACTCTTTTCACTGTCAACTCATGTCACTAAAAATATGTTTGGTTTTCTATTGTGTCATATACTACAGTCAGTGTTGTTTCAACTGTGAGCCCAACATTACATTACAAACTCAAAATCATTGCAGCAAAATTTATAAGTGCTGTGAACTAGATGAATCTATGGTACATGTATAAGGGGTTAAATTTTCAGGTACAATGTATAATTGATTTAGCAAGGCCGTATATTAACTGTCTAATGATTGACAGTAAAGGGACAGATTATGATGAGATATATATTCCACTGTCCCTGATTGTAGTTCTCTTGATTGTATCAGATTGGCAGATAGCTATGCTTCTGCAGTGCCAGTAAATTAGAAAATGCCTGATACACAATAAGGACATGCTCTCTATCAATGATGGGGACGATTTTGAATGAATGGATGGTACAAGCAAGGTGCAGGCTGGGAGACTTGAAGGGAGTGTGTGGGCTGATACCCTCAGTTTTTCATTACTGGTGGATCCCTGAATGGGTTTCCATCAAATAGACACATTTCATTATGCTACAAGATAAAACAAGCTGTGCAGCCACCAAAAGGACTTCTATTACATAGCTATTTTGAGTTTGCTATTTTGAGACTAAATTTCATTTTCAATTAGCACCATTTCCATTCATAAAAATATATTCTGTTCCAGGCATTCAATGTAGTGCCAGATGTCAAACAACATGTTCATCCATACTGTACACGAGTATGGTCCGACGTAACATCATGAATTTCTGTGCACAATCTATGGGCCTGTACAAGTTTCCCATTGCGTGAGGTCATCCCAGGAAATAGGAGAAATTTATGACACCAGTACAGCTTTCTTTTGATTTATGATTTCTGGGGCGACAGTAAATTCAAAGCTCTACCTGCTCCCCATGCACACGGAGGCACCAGGTGCAGCTGAAACAGTCTCCCACCTGACAGGACCTCGGAGAGCCATTAACGGTCAACACCACCCATCTATTTTCAGAATACCAATGACTCAGGCTTCAAAAGGGCAGCCCACGTACCAGCTGCAATGGTTTTCTTTTACAAAGGAACATAGCCTTTTGCAGCATACATCTACAGAAAATCAAAGTCTTCTGCAATAGCTAATACCGTGATGTTCAGGTATACCAAAGTCTTTTGCGATGAAAGATCAAGACTTTTGAAAAATACTTGAAAGAAAAAATAATACATGACATTTGTATGTGCAATATGTAACTGTACATTAATGGTGCTTCAAAGATACACTTAGTCTAGACACATTTCGGTTGACTGTACTAGTGGGTAATAGGTAAAGACTAGCCAATTTGATTTCCTTATGTATTGGTGCTGCAATCGAAATTTCGTTACGACGATAGATTACTGATGACTTAGCCAATTAGATCATATCTCTTAGTAAATTCAATTTCTTGATGACCTAGTCACTTACCAGTAAGCTTGTCAAGGGGGAAAGAACACAATGACTGGCATAACATTTCTGACTCTACTTTCCAAGGAATATTTTACACATTAATAATCTACAAAATGTTGACTGTGAAATATTTTAAAGCACAAAATCAATGTTTTAACCCGCAAATTCAAATATTCCTGGTAAAGTCCACAAAATAGGGGTTTAACAAAATCTATCCTTTTGAAAAAGATGTAAAGTTGATCATTCAGATAACTATGTCATAGACTGAAATGACATTCAGAATATAGAACAGATAAAAAAATGATCTTAATAATATTATTCATCACATTTACTAAAACATGCTAAAATCTACCCCAAACTTTCCACTGTTTTCTTACTGAAGGTTGATAGTATGTCCCTGTCTGATGGTATGTCCTGTCTTCAGGGCATGATCTATCTTCCCTGAGTAGCTGACCCAGTTTTGCCTGCCAGCTCACATGATGAGAATGCTGATATGCCAAGGACAGGCTTACATGTAGGCCTCTCAAGCCTGGGGATGAAGATGGACACCTGTGATTGGATGAGGCTACTGACTGTTTCTGGTCTGTTTAGTCATCCTCATCAGAGGTGAAGCATGATAAAAATCATGCTTTTTCTATTAGCTATGCTTGTGCAATGCAGCTTCGCTACAGCTCAAACATAATATAGGGGGTGATGATGTTAACCCCACCGTGTGGCTAATACGAGACGGAGGTTTGCCAGGCGATTTGTAGTGTCGCCCAGACAGTAGTATGTGGACCATCACACACCTGGGCATGCCCCTACTCTTTTATGAAAGGTGTGGTAGGTTCTTAACATGCGTAGGGTGTGGCTCTCCCGAAACACGGGAAATGCAACTGACCTCTAAATACATTATCTCCCTGCCCTCCATGTTCGGTACATGCAAACATCCTTTTGAAGTTTTTGACAGTTGGAACTCTTTATTACCAATCAATATCCAGGTCAGAGGTCAACCATCCTTCATAAATGACTTCAAATTTCAATTACAGTTGACCCAAACTGATACTGCAGGCAGGCAATATTTCACTTTGATAAATACTCCTTAATCTATCTGTTTTGCATAAGTTTCCATGGTGACTGCCATACTGGCCTCTCATTGGCGGTTCATTTTATTTAGAACAGTTCCACCTAGTTAGAGTTCTGTCTCCACAAATTCATGGAACAGGGCTGCAGTGATCATGAGAGTTTGTCTTACATTAGACTAACCCTATTCCAACCTCCATCAACGAGTAAAACAAGCCCTCACATCTCCGGCGACCTTTCGACCTTGCGGCAGAGGCCATTGTACTGATGGGTTTGCAAGATACATGACATAACTGTTCATCCTCCTGAAATGGAAGCCTCACACTTTATGTGCCATAAACATTATACCAGTGATATCTTTTACATTGTAAACATAAAGTTTTAGATTGTCTTCTTAAAGATCAGTACTTGCAGATTTTACTACATGTACATGTCAATGACCAGCCATGCAGGTGCATGTATTTAACACCCACGAGGCTTAGACAATAAATGAAACTTTCTGAAGCCCAGGCATCTTTGTTGCAGTTCCTTGAAAGAGGCTTTCAAGAATCAGTCGGCCCCAGGACAGTCTTATGGACGTCTAGTCTGAGCACTCTGTGCTTTAAATCCACCTAACAGCCTTTAGAAAGCTGCCAACCTTTTGGATCAGCACCACAGGAGTGATAGATAGACCTGCCAGGGGTAATATTACACTCACTGGTGCTTTAAACTTGCCTTTAGAAGGCAAACTCAAGCCATCAAAACTTTCTATACATGGCAGGTCTATGTTCGGAGATTTTATGGTCAACATGTGAATGTCATGTTGAGAAGCAGAAAAAAGCGATTCTTATTACAAACTCAGTTCATAGACATGTTGTTTTTCTGATAATTCACAGTATTCAAGTATTTTGAATCATTCATATTTCATAATGTACATTGCTATCTCTATACTTTCCTCTAACATTTGTATGAACTTAATGTTTTGCCTTGGAACTGTGATGCAATAAATGAAGGTAATATTATGTTTAAGACTGTTTCACCTGCAAGATAGACGAACAAAGTTTAATGATCAATGATTATTGTCAGAAGTTTGACTACATTAGGCATTTGAGGTATTGACTCTAAAATCTCAATAGTTGCCAAACTTCTAACAGTAATCATCGTTAAAGACATACTTACTAATTAATCTGCAATAAGTCTGCTTCTCTACCTCCCCTGAGTGGTGCATGTTCACATAGTCTTGTGCCTTTGCTGTTATTGTCTTGTAGAGATCTTCATCACTAAGGAGGCACTTGGCTTCACTCACAAACTCCTGAACAAACACAGAAAGGTTCATCTTCAACTTAGTGAAATTACTTTTTACTTTTTGCTGTATTAAAAAAGGTTGAGTCAAACATGTCTCTAGCTTTGAAAAAAAACATTTCCATGGTCATAACTATTACTAAAGCCCCACAAGCTAATTTATACATTAGTGATGATTAAAGTACATGTTGTAGACTTTTAGAGATGAAATATTTTGCTAAGCTGAAACAATTTAAGATTGAATATCCAAACTTACACATAGACTAATGTCTTCATGTGGCACTTAATTCTACACATTGCAAGCCACAAGCCAGTTTACAGTAATAAGCGAGATGGATTACTTTATTTTGAATTTCTTTCAGACTCTTCTTATTCATGGTTTTGCAGATGATAATCAACTAATCCCCAAAAGAAAGATAAATCCATGTACATGTGTCCCTAATATGAAACTGCTCTTGCTATTGGAACAAAATCCCTAGAACATAATAGCTAGACATCACTCAATGTGATATCGCAAAGGCAATCTTGTTATTCTACATTTCTCATACTTAAGTATTTGTATTCAGCCCTGCCCTTTTGCAGGAGGGAAGATAGAAAGGAGAACCTTAATTTAGTGGGGTTAATACGGATATTGTGGAAAAGAGATAATGTTAAGCTGAATTAATATCTACCTTACATTAGAGATCAATCTATTTTCAACCCCCTTTGCAAAGCAGAAAGCATATTTAGTAAGATATAATTTGAGGCCACAGCAATATAATTTTAAGGTTCTCGGATCTTTAGAAAATATGCTAACTGGAAATAAAAAAAGAAAACTTTAGAGGCAGGTTTATTAATTCAGGTGCATTCAGTTTTATGGAGTGAACACAGTTGGGTTTAAGTCTTCCTCCCTACCCTCTGTTTTAAAGATGTCTTCTTTTACTTTAAAATATCTGACTTAAACCTTATCATTAATACATAGTGCTTGTGTTGGATCTCAGTCTCTTCTTACTTACTTACATGACCTGGCAACTGTACACTATAGTATGATTTGAGCACATCCTGTTGTAACATTAAGTTCCACAATATTCCTAATAGAACCTGACTTATGACCTATCACGTACAAGTAGAGCCTGGTTCTGCTCATGTACACATGTATAGCAGCATGATTCCAGTTAATCCTTACTTGCCTTATGGAAAATCATATAAATCAATTCTGACCGAGAACAGGTTCAAGTGAAGGACACTGTCACGTACACTTACCATGCACTGGATTTAACACACAGCCACAAAGTTCACATGGCCACAAGCTGAATGTCACATTGGAAATGGCAAAGACTTAGTTATGACTGACTAAACAGCTTTGACATTTTGTTGTATTCCATTATGCTCAGTTAGACTGTGAGAATAGCTTTTATTTCCAGTGTTGTAGGAGATTTGTTGATAAGGGTGACTGAGAGTCAGAGGTGGGTTTTATGCCTTAATGCAGACGGGGCTCTAGCCAGCTTGAAATTTTTTTCTGTCAGCCCAGGTACATCATTGAATTTGGGGAGGGGAGCACCCTAGGAATTTTGAGAGGCAAATCATGGTGTTAAGAGTAGTTGTCAGTGGTCCTTCGGATGTTTTTATACTTCTACCCAATATTTTTTTGTTGATTTTGCATGTCAAGGTTGACCGAATGGTTTTAAAAAAATTTCCGTCACACTCCACAAAGTTCCAGTAATTGACGGAAAAACTGGTGCTGGCTAGAGCCCTATAACTTATAAGGTTTAGAGGTAGGTGATGATGCCTATCTGGCCAGGGATCCTCACTCACTTTCATCACAAAGTGCGGCTTATCTTCTTCAGCTCTATTCGCCTTGGTAGAATAGAGCCCTACAGTGCATGTAAAAGGTTTAGCTTTGCATGTTGATAGGTTCTGGAATGGACATGGCATGAATATCAAACATGTTGCAACCGCTTACTCATCACTGAATTGTGTTATCTTTATTTGGCTACTAAAGATACTACTGTGGAGTAAAAGAACTAACTACATACGGTAAAAACCTGAACATGTTATACCTCCTTTGGACATTCACCCACCCTTTTACCTGTTTCTGTGAAAAATTTAAGGACATGAATTGATTCGATACAGAAACCTCAACTAAAAATGGGTGAAAGGGATATTCATAATATACGTATGCCCTGAGTATAGTTGACAACAATATGCTGTACATGACATTTAACAGAAACAGCCAAAGCTAGGGCTTGAGACTCGTCCTTTGAAACTGGAGTACATGTTATGTGTTGATTTATGCCATCTACCAACTGCTGATAAAACGGCTCATAAATGTTGTTGCATCTATTACAGCAAACAGCTCTGAACTTACCGCATAAAAGTTTCATGTACGGTTGCTGAGTGCATCCCGGGGGCACGTGTCATAAAACTCACCTTTACTGCTGATGCTGAGGATTCTCGCTGACTACTAAACAACTGAATCAAAGGGCAGCACAGCACATAAAAACTTGTAGGTGGGCCTTCAAATGTTACATGACTTTGACATGTTTTTAGAAGTCCACGTATGAGACATGTTTGCAGTGGTACCTGAAAAAAGGGCTACAGCGTACTGAGAACATGCATCATGTAGGATAGATGAAGAAACAAGCTATTCATGTTGAGAATTAAATTAAAATCCCAAAACTGAATAGCATAATAATTATTGAATCCACGGGTAATACGTTTGGCATCAAAGAACTTTAATTAATATTCTCCATTTGAAAAGGATATTTTTAAAAAATATCACCTTGAAGTTGAACTTTATTGTAGTGATCCTGTTTGTCCTGTGAGCTTTATAATTAGTCTGGTAGGTCTAAAGGTAATTTCCCACTTTCATTTGGGGCAGCAAAATATGAGGCTTTATCCTCTAGTCATTCCCAATCACCCAAACTGTACATTCAAGTATCCCAGACTAATTTAGTTGCTGGAAGACGGCCAGGTCTCCCAATGGGAAGTAATTTCATAGTTTTTATGTCAGGGGAGAGGCCATAAGTTGTTAAGTTAACATCGGCCAGGGTGATTGTGACCTTGAAAAGTGAGACAAACTTAATGAAAGTTGCTCTGGGTGCCAAAACATGGATGCATCAAAAACCCAGACTTCAATGAACCAAAAACATAGCTGCTATCTATCTGCCTGAGCTGACCTGGTATTCAGAGTTGTACAGCTTTGGTATTTCACAGCTGTAAGAGACACTGAACTAATGCTGGATTACTATATATTGGTAAACTTTAAAATGACATGCATTACATATGATTTCTTGACAAAACATCCTGTTGACAAACTTTTACACAAGACATAAATATCCATATCTATGCAGGTATTGACTTACATTTATCAACTGAATTATGATATATATAACTATTTTTAACTTGCTGACACTTAATATATCTGTATCCTCCTTTGATGCAAAATTCACTATGGATTGTCACAAGAACATGGCAACAGCAAATAAAATATACCAATTCACAAGATATATTGACTTTCACATTCTGACCCCTTTCTTCATTTCACCTTTACCTGCCTGGGTAACCTACATGTATGAGATCAGTATGGCAAACTAGTTACTAGATGGAGATATCCCAGTGGCACAATTTCTTTTTCTTCAACCCCAAATCTGGCTTTCAGTCAACCCAAATAAGAGGAATGGTCCTGATTATGATAATGAAATTCCACCATTAATATTTCGCTCTGACATATTCCTATCACTTGCTCCAGGAATTATTCTGTAAAATCTCCTAGGAGTGTGGAAGAGAGTCAAAATGCAGCATGGGAGATGCACTATGTCTGAATAGGAAGATGTAAGGTGAATAGTCTTCCATGCAAACAGAATAAAGTAAATCAGATCGTATTAATCAAATACACCAGAGATCTACCTAGGGACCGGGGTGGGGGTACAATATGGTAAAATTACATGGAAATTGTCAGATGTCATTTGACTCATTAGTCTGGCAGATCTAATTCATTTTGGCATCACTAATTTAATACCAAGTAATCCTATATGCATGTGAAATTACCGTGGAATTGAATATAATTTTTTTTACCCAAACTCCTATACAACCATTTACAAACAAAATACAAATCAAGTTTCTAAATGCTGTTACAGTAATAAATTTACCCACATACAATAAGAATTATACCCGTTTAAAAAAATGGTACAACCCAGCCATATATCTTGAGAGGTTCTATCAGTTCAACCCTGGAATAATGCGTGTCATTTAGAAGCGACTCACGTATTACAGGTGCCACCAAAGGGATACAATTTACCCAGAATGGATCAGATTTTACGCATTGGCAATGCTTCACCTGTGATTTGGGCTTGGGGCTCCCAACCTCAATAAAGGGGCTTTCAATATTTAGCGAGGGGACATGGTTCAGCCGATCGCCTCGCAAGGCAGTCGGCATTGATTTTCCTCAGAAATGCGAGAGAAATGCATGGAATTCTGTCGATAAATGGCCATAATGTGCCGAGAGGATTGAACAAATGTTCTGAGTGGGATATTAGGCAACATCGTGCCAGCCAAATGTCAAGTCTTTTAAGCCAGGAATGAATGTAATAAACTATTCGAGTCAAGACAGATTCATAAAGCACTGCACTCTGTGGCATTGAACAGTCTGATTGGGAAGGATTGATTTAAATACGATGAAGCTCTCGATAACTTTATCATAATGATAAATGTGCAATGATTTTCTGTCATCAATGGTTACATCTTTTACTGTACGGTATTAAAGTGAGGGCATGGCAGAGAGAGGAGTCACTTGATAATACTTAAGGACGGATCAGTTTAAGTCTGCCTGTGAGCCAGAGTCAGGGTTGATCAGAAGTACCAGAAGACTTCATAATCACCCATGACACTGTAGGAGGAATATTGGGGGTACAGAGAGGAGATTATTGTAAGGGGCCCTGCATGCACTTTTTTTTATAAGGAGTAATCATGTACCTTTTAATTCTGCGTAATTCATAGGCAGCAGCTCAAATTCAATGTAAATGTACATGTAAATTTGTAATCAGTATGTAACATGTACAATATAATTTTCTACAAGAGACATAGTCGGCACCTGGAATTTTACCATAAAACATACATGTGTAACAGTGTAAGTAATAAGTTATTCGTTAAGTGTAGTCAAACTTGCCTAATATCGTCCAAAGTAACCATTATGTGTGGTGCATCCGGTTTTCTGTGAATGGAGGAGGCTTACAAACAACAGTTTCAGTTTTCACAATTTTAAACTTCATCCCACCACATTACTTCTGGTTTGTGCACTTAAAAAACTAGGGTGAACTGGTTTAAATGATATTAAGGTAGACAACCCTGCTGCACCCTCCATAGCCCGTGCCTCACCTCTGATACAGTGCAGGACCCAAGCAATTTCACATAATGTATATACATTGGCCCAATGGCCCTGTTTCCAAACTCTTAATATTCCACGGTGTAGTACAATTTACGAGGGGTCACGTTATAGTGTGACCCTCGCCTACCCTACCATGCCAGCACCATCCTGACAAATTACTCGCACAACCCTCGCCACTGTTACAGCCTGCATATAGCTTTAATGAAGGAGGTGCTGTGTCCCTGTGACACAAACTTTTGCTGTTTGGTGCCATAATCCCATCATGTGTGTGGACACACATGTAGACTTCTAACTGAAGTGAACAAGCTTAAAAAAATGAACCAGAACCAACAAGAGACCAGTATGGGAGACCAGTATGGGACTCATGTGAACTAAAAAAAAAGAGAACAGTTTTGACTGTGATCACGGCATAAGAATGGCAACCATAAGCTCAATTTTTTGATAATCGAATGTAATTTGATTATGTTGCCGTACATTGTATTTGGATTCGGCCTGTTTCACCTGGCTTACACTAGTTTCAGGTACTAGTATTTGTCAGCCATTGTCTATAGGACCTATCATTCAGGAGGCACTGCTAGTAATGCAATAAAATCAGGCTACTGTGGATAGTGTCAGGTACTTTCTGTAGCTTGAAGTCTAGATCTGGACAGTAAGGGAGCGGGCATCTTGTCATCCAATATACTAAATGCATTATTCATTTGACACTAAAACTAGAGGTCACAGAGCTCCAGTGAACGGTAAATTACCCAGGAGGTAGAAACACATAGCATCAACTTTACATGAATTTTATGACAGCATAAAGAAGATGATTGCAAAGCTTCAGGACATTACATTGAAATTAAAACAGGTTCTGAAGAGAAGATGATTCTTAATGTGTGTTTTTTACAACTAGAAATTTAAGCTTGAGGATGAAAGGTAATGAAATAAGGAATTAATGTTTCATAAAAGCCCCATTTCATGGCATGTTACACTGATTAACAAACTATATAATCACTATACAGAAAAAATAAAACATGTATTGAAAATCATATTCATAGATTGTATGAAGCACAAAATAAGCCATACAGAGGTAGATTATGGATGTGTGCATGCAATTTCTGCAGCAGCATGTAAGAAATCAAACGTGTTCCCCTTCCCCATATTGAGCGTTGCTGACAAAATGGACGGCATTACTTATGGGCAGGGGTAATAACGTGCCTCCTGGCAGCACTCAATTCCACCGATAGACGTCAGGGGAGTGGAGGCTACCCTGGGGGAAGAGAACTGTCCCAGATAACAAGATTCTATTCCCTACATTTTTGTTCTGTATGAGGTATTCTACATTTAAATGTAATATGTACCTTTACCTTATAGGGTGCAGTTACAAGCAAATGTCTCCAGGTGGCTTCACTGTTCAATTCATGAAGCACACCAAGGAAGATTACACTAGCAGTATATATTATAATCAGATGCTGCTAATGTCATCTGATGACAATAATAACCAGTAAGCTTTTATGGCTTTATTATGGACTATGGTAGTGGTTCATAACACATATTTTCCATAGCAGTCTGAATTGAAGTGAGTAATGTCCCCCCTTTGGGTTATGATATATGGGTAGTAAATCTTATCTATTCAGGCATATAATATTTTCAATGCATGTTTAAGTTGGCATAAAACATTTGATATGTTGAATATAATACATGTACTAATAGACTAATGTCTTAGTTATATGACATGCTTGTAGATGTTAAGTTGGCATATGATTCTTTCAATCAATAGCATCTGATATAGTTTAAATATAGCCAACTGGGGCACAATTATCTGTCACCCAAAACCCTTTATAGGACAACTTTTTCTTTCTTCATTGCCTTAGCTCATGTTTCTATATCATAGATTTTCCAATATGTCTTAAAGCCATATAACTAAGTGTCCACTGCAGGGATTTTGGCTGAACATTTTCTTACTTTTCTACACAAAGGTTTAGATGCGCATGCAGAGCAATGAACTATAAAACAAGGAATTTCACATGGATTTCTTGTACAGCCTGACCATGAATATCTCATCAGTGACCCCTAAACCCCTTTGATACCCTCGCAGATTGCGAGCAGTAAAAGAGGCCAGGTTGCAGAGCCCATGAAATTGATTTCCTGTCAATCACCCTAAGCTGGTAATGGACAATTCTGAACTCCCAAGCCCCCTGAAAGTGGCGCGTATATTACAGGCACTGCTCAGATAAAATTTCCAATATGGATGGAGTATTCCATTGTAATGGGTAGGGACATTGACTGGACATAAATGTTTGTATTCTGTAGTCAAATGAGTAACATATACACAACAATACCTTTTGATTAAAAGTTGTAATATACAACGTGTATAAAAAAGAAAACAGCAGTGTGTTCACATTTCCCATTCTCTATTGAATCTTAAGCATTAAGGGAAAACACAATCTTCCCTTCAGCCAATCTGCATATACCGTACGGTATTCTATGCAAACTGTAAATTGAATAAGACATTTACATAATGTTGTCATTTCAGGCCCTTTCCTAATGTGATTGGATGTGTCTTAATCATGCATTCTAAGTCAATGCATCTGTTAACTCGTGTCAACACATTAAGTCTCTAGGAATGATGATATCAAAATAGAAATACATGTATACATTAAATATAATGTTTGAAATGAAATAGGCATAAATCAGTCAGATGGTTTGTAGTCATAAAGACAAGAAATAAACAGTCAAACTAATCAGTAAAATGAGTCAAATCAGTATGACAATTCAACAACATTGGTATGATGATTATACAATGTACTTATCAATTTTGAAATGCAGTATTGAAATGGGACACCCAAGATCTACTGCAGTACTTGTGCTAGTTGATAGGTGTCACCCATGCATACGTCACGTAAAATTTGCTTCAGAGTGTTTACAACTGTTCAGCATCAAACACGATGTTCAAGCCACATGAAAGGCCTGCCAAAATTTAAACATAATGCTACATTTCATCAGGACTTACCTCTGGACTATTGAAGAGAAGTCCTGTCTCCTTGTGTGTGATGATAGCAGCATTGCCGGCAATGTTCCTGGCTATCACAGGCACTCCCAAACACATAGCCTAATCATTGGGACATACATGTAAGAAGATCATTTAAAACTATCTAAAACTTTTTCACAACACTAGTCTGATGATGTTCATCCATCATTGTCTATGACAACCCGACTTCAGTTGCCCTTGTGTGTTTTGGGTGTGGCTAATGAATCTGATTTTTATGTCCAGTAAATGTCCCTAAAACTCAAAGTCTACAAATACAAATACAGCGTTGATTACAGAACAGAGTGCGACAACCAGCACTAGTTTGAAAATTACATGTAGTTTGATTATCAGAAAGAATGCTTGGAGTAAGTTTCACCTCCAAGATGGCTCCTGACATCCCCTCGCTGACTGATGAGTTGACCACAGCACAGGAGTGCAGCATGAGTGTGTGCAGGTCAGCCTGGGGGAGGGGGGGCAGCAGGAGGATGCCTGGACACCTGGGAGGGGGGGCACAGATATTATATACAACATTACATACACATTTTGGATATGTCATTCATTACCTATCCCAACAATACACTGCAATACACATGAAAGTCACAGTATACCGGTATATCTTGTCAAGCATGGGTACCTGCGGATTTCACCTTTTACTTTCCTTGCATAGTCCTCATTCATCTGAAACAAACAAAAATTAAAATAGTTTTGTACTTGAAGTGAATGTTAAACTGTTGGTGCATGCCATCTTTAAGGAGAACCATACCACAAATGTGTTAAAGAATTCCCCACACTTATCAATAGGAGAGGTAATTCAGTTCATGTATTCCCAGCCAGGATGCAATTGCTCAACAATCCAACCTATTTCTTAATGCAGCTTGTACCCCAAATCAAATCAAGCTAGCCATGATAGATAAAATGTTATTTATTGTAAAAGGGCTTTCTTACCTCTGGTCCCACAATAATAAGAAGAACCCTGCTGTTATCTCTATGCCATTCTGCAATACCAAAGAAATCCATCTTTAATTTGCTTTAGTAAATCTGGGTAATTGTATGGGTCAAGAGCACTTGCAATATGTACATTACAGTTAAAGTGCAGAGAAATTTATTGCTGTCTTACCTGAAAATACCTGCAGCAGGTATAGCGGATCCTTCACTGGTCTTAGTCCACATACAAGTAGAAAAACTTTTGTGGAGTCATTCAAATTATCTGTACAACCACCTGGTAATTAACAAAAGAATCCTTTATCAACAGAAGATGTGACTAAAGCAAAATCATGTACTACCATGATATGTTTAACTGACTCAAAATACATGTGTCACAAATGCAAAATATGCAATGTAACTACATGTTCTAGTATGCAGCACTCTTTGTGCTTATCCAGAGTCACAATTAAATGGTGCTATTATGCAAAGCTGTAATAGCAAAATCACAGTGAGAGCTTGCAGGTGCAGCTGACCAGAATATACCCCTGGCCAGAATATTCCCACATGTACTCTAGCCAGCTTGGGGTATGTCCCAGACTGCTACACCTGTATTGAGGTAGAGTGACTTACATGCACATGAACCAAACTCTGCAGCTCTGTAAGCAGTTAAGATGTCACTGAGGTGAGATGATGCAGAAGCATATGTACAAACACCTGCAACAAAAACATAAAAACAAAATACATATGCTACTAAGCACAAAGGAAGGTCTTTTCCCCTTCCAAGTATGAGAATATGTTTGCAGATCTGATTATTGACACTAGTTATTCAGCAGCAATGTAAAAGAAGCTCACTCAACTTTCAATAGATTGAAGTTAAACAAATAAAGGGGTACCTTGTGGCTGTATGTGGATCTTGTCAAGAACATGGGGCTGAAATGTAGGTAGGTTCTCATTTACTTACAGTTCTTAAAATAATTTGCAGAGTGCAATACATGTACATGTATAAGCATACTGAAATTTAAACATCGTTTCAAGATAATCAGGTGGTAACCTAAGTTACGAATGTTGTACTCACCCAGAGTCTTAAGGCTTGTTGTCTTATCTCTTTTGAGAAACACACCAGAAATCTGAAGGTCAAAATACAGGATATTAAGAACAATCAGGATGACAGAATGGTCATTTTTGTCTGGGATGGGTGGGATTAGTGTGAAGCATGGTCCGGGCACAGGCCTTTCATAGTGACGACTGAATTGTCACCAAGCATGTGTTTGCTATAGTGTTGACCTGGTTGACCTTAGTGATGTCCTTACCTGGCTTGGTTGACAGTAGCTGTCATGAGGTCCATACTGTCTGGTATTGCTGCACTTTCATTTAGATCAGTCCCTCCAAACACCAGTCCAAATGGTACTGGGCAGTCTGCAATCATAACATACATCAAAGATATTGCCATCTGATTGCAATCTAAAGTACAAGTTTTTATCTACAATTTACAACTGACTGGTATACACTATTTTTACAGTAAATAATATAAAATTTTGCCTTGTTGATGAGTGCACATCTAATATTTCCAACATCTTCTGATGTTACAATTAATTTATTGCTCTTGGAGTAGATGAAGTATGGTATAACGACAGGTCATCACATTGATACAAAAAAAGTCGGACTCCTAATTTGCATATCCCTGCTCACCCCTGAGTAGATTCCCTGTCCTGCAGGCGTTGATTCCCATAATGCACCTGATGTCATTGTTGTTGATGAATTCCCAGAGTTCTTTGCAGCCATCAAAGTTGCTGGTACACTTCCTGATACACCTGTGCCCACCACTTTCTAAAGATGTCCTGAAGAAACCAAAAGAAACTTGGTTTCAACTTTTGAAAGAAGAGACAAAATTTCCTTGGTCTCCTGGCTGAAAATTGGACTTAAAATTTTTGTTTTTCAGCACTGTACCAGTACCCTGAAACCATTCCTTTAATTTTGCTGTCTTTACCCAATTTTCTTCAACATTGAACCACTAACCTTCATATGCAGTGGGGTAAAAACATTTTGAATTTGACGTATTTTATATAATACAAAAGTTAGTGTCTAAAACATAACGTTACCTTTTGGGTTAAACTGCAAGACCTGAACCTTACCTTATTCTCTCGGCAGTTACTAAGTTCCCTGAACAAGGGAAGCAGTAGGCCAGGAAGAGGGTTGTCATGACTTGTTGTTTCTCACATTTTAGCTGTCTTCTCCGTCAACCTAATGTAACATATGTTTCATAAGTTATTTACCAGTTCATAAGCTCCTAGACCTTCTCTAACGCTATGTCATATTGCAAAAGGTCACTATTGTTTCATTGATTTATCAGAGCAAGGACATTATTTGTTTGCTCTGTTGTTTGTGTGGGTACGTACGCAGACCAGATGTATCAAGCTAGATTGTCACATATGAATGCAGTTAACTCAATAAATACGTTCCCAGCATGCCCAAAAGCTTGCGACAGGCTTAAAAGCGTCTATAGACTTCAATTTCGTCCTATAGTTAACCCTTTGAAGACCAACTACTCCGTGAAGGTTGGAAATTAGAACTTACCAGAAAGTTTGGGGTCTAAATCCGCCATGCTGTCACTTGCGCACTTTGACCTACGGTGGACGAGTTCACTTCTCATGGAGGGGGTGTAATTAGTTTGGAATAATATTTAACCACGTCATGAAATATAATGCCATAATGCCATCTTGTGACAGTGTTTTTTAATGTGGTGAATTACGTATTATCATTTTAGAAAGTTACTAAAAATTACATTCATCTCTTGCCTGCCAATAATTTCCCCTCTCTGCGTCAATGGCCAGTTCCTTTCCCTGTCCTTGGTGCTGAAAGCACCTTTCACCAAGAGGATTTCTTTTGTTCATAGTAGGGATGTTTTCCTTACAAGAATTATCCTCCCTTAATTTAATGCCTTACAAATAGCATGTATGTATGTAAAGCATCATTGCTGTGTCTTTGTCCTTGTCATGAAACATAAACACAAGCCTAACTGTTCAATCATTTTCTCGATTCTTTTTGTTTTTACCTCCGAACAAGACACAGCTTCACAAAATAGTTGTCCGACGGATTGCAGATCCTGTTCCCCCACATGGCAAGTGTTCAATACTGCACTTTCAATTGTTATAAATGTACAATATAATATGCTAAATAATAAACAATAAACTTGTACCTCTCCCCATTCCTTTCAATACTTTTTGCCCCTTCCAAAAAATAATATGCAGTTGATAAGTAAACACAACAACACACTGCACCACTTGAGAGTAGAACATGCTTTATTTGCATTTCCACATGACAAAATATAAGTTTATTAACAGTTATACCGGTATGATCTTAAACAGGGAAAACCCTTCCAAGCATGGAGACATGGTGAACATGTCCATGTATACCGTGCACTGTAGTAAATATGGCAGTTTGTGAGCTTTAAGTCTATCAGCTAACAGTTAAACTTCATGTTAGATCTACATAACATTTACATTACGAAACCATGAAACATGTCACATGATCTTGACTAGTGCTACAAAAGTTATCTAGAGAAAATCTACAGAAATCTTTCTCTTGGTCAGTTGTGGTTACAAAATATATGAAAATAGATAGTTGGATCTGTTAATATATAACGTTATAACTTTTTTACTAGTTCTATGTGCTTAAACTACACTATGGGTACAGGGTACAAGAACAGGGTACAAAAGAACAGTCCAGAACAGCAACAGAGTGAAGGTGAGCCAGGTTTGGTGAGCTGATCATCGGGGAGAAGCCAGGGGGAACCTTTCTGCCGCTCCCGTCATCGGCGCTCGACCAGACGTGGGTCAAAGTCAGTCTGTCATGAAGTGCCTAATGTGGGGGAACAATCATGGAAACCATGCTTGATTTAAGTTACATGCTGGTGTCATAGCATATCTAGGTATGGTTATGAACAGATACAATCCCCCCATCCACATATTACATGTAACCGTTAAGAGTTACATGTTATATTGCAACACATTACAGTTAAGTTACTGATACTGAATCCTTCTTTGTGGGAAATAAATATTTCTGTCATACCTGACTTTTTGAGCATTTATAGGTCCTTGTTGATTGCTTCCACCACCACACTAGGTTCAGGGAACTTCAGCTTACGAGGTGGACCCTTCTTTATCCCTGTCCACACTAACATTTCTGCAAACAATAAAGAACATAAATGTCTATAACAGTTATAGTAAACATTCAAAGCAATTGTGTAACTTAAAGTAAAAAAAACAACAACTAAGTTTGTACCTCAACAGCTCTTGATGCAAAACTATAGTCATAATAACAAATTGATTTGAACACTATAATATAAAGACAGATAACGTTACATATCAACTGATCATTACCTAAAACTACAATCTAATTCTGTGCATAATCAGCACAGAGATGGCCTCATCTGAGATTGGCTGGTATGTTTCCATCTTTCTCCCCAACCAGAATCTCACACACAGAAGTTTTCTTTGCACAGATACTGGCACTCACCCTTCCCATCATCCTTCACAACGGTGCACTCAAAGCTGTTCCTGCGTCCGACTGTGGTCTCCACGGTGACGTCAGGAAACTCCGCCCGCAATGCCTCGGCCAGCTGGTCAGCATTGCGCTTGTACACGCGTCAGCTCTTGCTGAGAGGGCAGAATGCTTCTAATGTTTGTTATATGATCACATTTTTTCACATCTAACGTTATGTCATCTTAATTTATATAACAGTTAACAGTTACATGTACAGTATGAGATATCAGGTAACATAAATGTGCAAAACGGGCCGCCTCTACAACAATAGCAGACTGATCGATATGAGTTATATACTCCATTTCTATTGTTACATCTAAAGTGGCAAACCCTATAACTGTTATATGAACTATTAAATGAAGGCAAGAAAATGTTAGACCTGCTGAGCTGATAGGGGAGGGCCAGGATGTAACTGTTATGGGGATGGGGGTTGGGAGGAGATGCATATTACCTTGTCAGGACAACAACAACAACAACAAAAACTCACGCACTTTCCCTTTCCTGTGTTGAACTGTTAAGTTATCCAGCTTTGTTATATAAACTGACAATGAAGCTAAATGGAAAATGTGCTTCTTTTTAGGTCGAGAACTGATCATCAATAACGTGGAACACACAAATTTATAGGACTTTTCTTCCCACTAACCAGTGCTCGATTTTCACCCGAAAGGACGCTTTTCCCGCGGATTTGACCTTCTTCGTTGCCGGGGCAGCTGTAGAAGTTACCGCCACAGCTTCATGTCCAGCGTCGGTGTCTCCCTTCGCAACTAGGGCCTCTTCTTTACCAGCATCCGCATGCGCAGCTCTTTTCTTTCCACGAGGAGCCATGTTTTCTTCTGCTCCTCACACGTGCAGCCCGTGCAAAAACGCCCCTTGCAGTTTCCTCACACATTGCAGACAGATTCTTGGGAATGCAGGTCATCTTTTTAATATCTTGACTTTGGATCGCTGCAGTCACAAGAAATGGTTACTGATAACTGCAAAATGTTACATAGGAGACTTTGTTTCGGTTTGACTAAAACCTACAGCCTCGTTAAACGATTTATTAGGCAAAACACCCCCTTCTTGTAGTGGCTCATTCCAAATATTGAACCCGGAAGTGGAGTGTGTTTGTTGTTGTGCAGCTGTGCAGTGTTGGATGATCAACGTCTAAAGTTCACCCCTATAACAATAGCAAATGATCGCACTTTGGAATATACTACGAGTAGTTTGACAGTCCTACAAAAAGAAGACACGATGAGTGCGGACGAGGAGCATATTTTGAAAGAGGTAACTAACGATCGCTATAATTTTCGTCTTCCACTGACACCATCACTGAAGTCAAACCTACAAAAACGTAACTAAGGAATTATTAGAATACCGGTATGTTAAATTGCGCTTCACTGTTTTTGCCCTGTTACATGTAGTTGCAATTGGCCTTCAGAAAAGAACTTGCATTGAACTTCTTATTGAAGGACCTGCGTTCCTTGAGTTGTGATGCATTATTAACTGAAGGTCAAAGGAACACTAGCTAATGCTCCCTAGATATTGGATGTTGCAGATCATACACTGATCGTATTTATCAATATCCAGCCGCATCAAGGTAACGTTACTTCTTTGGTACATGGTGTATTCAGTCCCCCATATATACCAATAGTAAGCCTGAAGCCCATCCAGTGTTTGATAATTTACACTAATCTGTAGCAAGCCCCATTACCAGATGTTCTCTGCATAACTTACACAGTTCCGTGAGAGACTTCAGGATGTTGCCCAGCCCCACATGGATAACCAGTACCTCAACAGGTGGCTGAAAGGTGAGGCTATTGTTAAGTTGACTCAGAAGTTTCTGAATGGACCCTAACAATTGTTGATCGTGTTCCTGTTTTCTTCCAAATTGACAAAATCTGACCAAACAACACATAATTTTTTTCTGTACCTAAGCTGAAGTTAGTGCCACTGTAACCTCGTCTACAGAATATTACATGGGTTGTTTATTTCATTGAAGTAAGATTGAAGTCATTGAAATTACCACATGTTTTGCTCACATTTTTTTCTGTGTTTTCCTGAACAGCAAGAAGGTATAAGATCGACAAGGCTGAGCAGATGTACAGAGCAGTGAGTATACTTCAAGATATTTGATTTTTGTTTTCCTTTTTTCCCTTCCTCCTTTGGTACAATGTTACCCCTATGATTGCTCTGTTTTATTCCAGCATCTTACCTTTAGGAAGAGTATGGATGTTGACAACCTTAAGAAGAACTTCAAGGAGCCAGAGGTAACAGTCATCAATCTTTACTGCCAACTTTATTTGGCTTGTTTTTGCTTATTTTTGCTTGATTTTGCTTATTTTTGCTTGATTTTGCTTATTTTTGCTTTCTCTGGAGACCCGTTATTGAGTACATATTTCTCTCCTGTAAGGTTATAGAGAAGTTTTTCCCAGCGGGAGGTTTCTGTGGTGAGGACAGGGAGGGCAGCCTGGTGTTTTACCAGGTGTTCGGGCGGCTGGACGTCCAGGGGATGATGAGATCTGTCAAGATCCTGGACGTCATCAAGTTCCAGATCTGTATGCTGGAGATGGTGGAGGACATGTTAACTGCACATTCAGCAAAGGTAGAACATAAGCTGCCATTTACCATAGAATGTAAACTTAAAATATTAAAAAGAATATAAGATTATAAACTTAAAAGATTATAAGTTCCTCTGTTCAGCTAGCATGGGTACCACCCAAGTTAGTACATCTGCTCCAATATTCGCTACCCATGGTTGGTGCATAGTGACTATTGGAGTGGACGTAAAACTAAGCAGAATGGTACCCAGGCTACTGTTCAACTGTTGCTTCTTAAAATAGCTCCAGGAGAAGTACTAGTACGGTAACCTTATATATTATCACATTGAAGTAGCTGTATCGCTACCAATTCTCTGGTGGTTACAGAGTTAGAAAAAGGGAGAAGGTTAAGAACACTTTTTATAACTTTTGTACATTTGTGATTATCGTCTTGTACCCCTACTTTCTATTAGACTGGCAAACAGACATTTGGGATGACTGTGGTGTACGACTTGTACAACTTTGGCATGCAGCATCTTTGTAAGCCAGGTACATGCAAGCTACATATACTCAATACATAACAGTCTTCTACTGCATGTATTTGCTTGTTGATTTAGCATTTGTATATAGCCGTTTGAAATAGCTAAAATGAAATTCATAATTTGTTTTATTTTTTCAGTTGCGGAGGCATTTGTTCAGGTCAGTATCTATGATGGATCCAGTGGTAATTTGTTTTAACTGTCAACATCATATTTATCTTTTTTTTTTCTTTATTTCTTTAAAATTCCATACATGTTTTTGACAAACATTTCCCTTTTTATTTATGTAAAGTTTCTGAAGATGTTTGAGGCCAACTATCCAGAAATCCTGAAAAAGGTCATTGTGGTACAAGGTGTGTGATATAATGTGTTGTTGTTTTGCCAAAACATACTACATATATGTAATATAGTATATCATGAGGATATTCAATGATAACTGGCCATTATAATTTTTCCAGTAAGTATCAAAATATCAGCAGCAATAAATACTAAGTAAATACTACATATGCAAACAAAGGTATAATCATCATATTGGGCATATTTATTTAGAATGATCAAATTATCACAAAATGATACAGCAGTGAAACGTTGCAAATATCTTTGATGATTCTTTTTCCCCCACACAATACAGCACCTTCTGTCTTCCCCATCGCCTACTCTGTTGTGAAACCCTTTCTGAGTGAAGACACCAGAAACAAGGTGTTTGTCTGTGGCAGTAAGTACTATCTACACAACATGTTACTGAATCTAGAGTGAAAATTCAGTAAGGACTAGTTAGTGTGAGTGAAGTACCAGTGAGTGTCCTTTCAGTACCACTACCTTTCAGAGTGAAGTGTCCTTTCAGTACCAAGGACAGAGGCATGCTGGTTAGTGGGAATACAGCTTCAGTACCAAGGATAGGGGCACGTTGGGTAGTGGGAATACAGTTTCAGTACCAAGGACAGGGGCATGCTGGGTAGTGGGAATACAGCTTCAGTACCAAGGACAGGGGCATGCCGGTTAGTGTGAATACAGTTTTGGCACGAAGGACAGGGGCATGTTGGCTAGAGGGAATACAGTTTCAGTACCAAGGACAGGGGCATGCTGGTTAGGGGGAATACAGTTTCAATACCAAGGACAGGGGCATGCTGGTTAGTGGGAATACAGTTTCAGTACCAAGGACAGGGGCATGCTGGGTAGTAGGAATACAGTTTCAGTAGCAGGAACAGGTTTACATTCTCACACGTTTTTGTAAGTTACTGCTTTACTGTTAAGTCCCTTGATTCATCAAGGAAACTGACATATTGTGTCATTTGAAGGTCAAGAATTACTGAAAAAACGTAAAGCCACAAGTTCAAATGTTGATGGACTTGTTTTTGGTACAGGTAATTGGAAAGAGGTCCTGGCTGAACACATTGCACCTGACCAGATCCCTGTACACTATGGAGGCACCATGACTGACCCTGATGGGGACGTCATGTGCAAGTCAAAGGTACAGCCAATGGTTTGTCTATATCATATTTACAACATGAATTTGCACATTCCTCTTCATGAATGTGTGTCTGGCAAATGGTAGAGCAACTCAACACCTAGCTTCTGATTTATATAAAATTCTCTAAGAGCAGAGGACAATTGTATTCTGCAGCTGACAGAGCAAGTGCTAAGAGGACACTTTAGATAATCAACATGTCTTCTGACCTAAAGTTATGATGATTAATGACTGTTCAACTGTATGATATCGAAATATTACATCCTAGTATGGGATACAATGTCTCCTGTATTTGCCTCTTTCATACAGATCAGATATGGAGGTGTGGTTCCCGAGTCACATTACTCACCGGGAATTCCTGCAGAGATCCTGGAACAGATGAAGTCAGCAGACGTGGAGCCTGGGACATCACTGGGGCTGGAGGTGGACGTGAGGACCCCTGGTGCCATCCTCAGGTACTGCAGGACAGATGTGTCTAGATTGTCTCGCATTACAAGAAGACTGGGGAGAATACTCTATCACCAAAAGTACTCCATTTCCTGTGTAGCCGATGTAGGTGGCACTATTGCGGCAAGAACACGATTATTTTTGGACCTATATTAAACTATCATGTATAAATCTGTTCTAGGTGGTTGTTTAAGACAGAAGATTGTGACATCGGGTTTGGAGTGTACAGGCAGCAGGGCAATGGTACCAGATACCAGGACATGGAGGAAGTCGTGCCATGCTCCAAACACAACAGTCATCTCATACTGACCGACGGGGAACTGTTGTGTGCAGAGGCTGGCAAATGTAAAGTTTGTTTTTGTTTGTTTGTTTGTTTATTTATTTATTCAAGGAACGTATCAGAAGTGAAGGTTGTAATGCTACTGTTGTGTGTTTCAAAATTTATTGAAATTAACTTATTGGTGTAAATCACCCAATGTAATAACTGCAGTATGTATGATCCACTCCCTAAATCTTTGGAGTGGATCATAGATTTGATGAAGATTGACAAGATCAACCGAAAATTTATGGCGAGTTTCCTTCTTGTGTTCCAAGTTTAAACTCTACAACTATGGTTCTACCAACAGATTGGCTTCCATTTGAATGTATTATCGTATACTAAAGAACATTGTTACATTGTGTATTGTATCTTGTTTCATTTTATACCCCCACAGATGTTGTTCGATTCGACAATTCCTACAGCTGGGTTCGGAGTAAGACCCTTCGCTACAGTGTGGAGGTGCTGGAACCTGGTGATGAATCTCTCACAGGGGTCAGGGGTGATGTGTCACAGTTCAGGGATGGGCAAGATTCCAGCCAAGACTAAGGGTAACAAAGGTCAAACCTGGCCGGTAATGTGGAAATCTTCCAGCTTTGTAGAAAAATGTATGAAAAAGTCCCATGTAGGAAACAAAGTTGAAATAGCTAATGTGACAATGTTATCTACAAAATTGTGCCTCAAAAGAAGTCATTTTAGCAGTGACCAAGTAAGATTTCCAATGCTTCACAGGGATAAACCTGTGGTTATCCCTGTGAAAAGTCTTTAAATTCAGGGAACGGAAGTGTGGTTATCATTTTAATACATGTAACATTAAGTGACTTGCTCTAAGCTTGCCTGTTTGCCTTGATCTAAGCCCTCAAGAAGGAGCAACAGACTAATATAGAGGTGTTGCAAATATTGACTTAAATCAACTAATGTATATGTTCCAACTACATACTCCTAAATGTTGTTTATAATCTCATTATGATGGGACAAGAGACCAGGTTTTTATTATGTTGCAAGTTGCAAATTTTGACATTTAGGTCCAAAGCCCTAGCTGGTGAATAAGTTGTGGGAACATTGCTCAGGCAAAAAAAGACAGGAATACAAAAGTACATATTTGTAATAAATCTATTATATTTGATTTTCATTGTAAAAAGCATTCTGAAATTGCAAAATGTACAAACATATTACATTAGATTTGTCATCAAACATAAAACTACATCTCAAAATATATCAAAAATGGCAAATAACATATCAGAAATAAAATATCTGCATGATATGACATTACAATGTTAGTGACATTTGTATTTTGGTCTAAACTAAATGGCAAATTTCAATAATAAAATGGACCTTTGTTATAAGGTCTTGAGTAATAAACTGCATACAGAAGTTAAGTGATTACAATGTCTCATCACACTTTTTTGTTTAGTACTGGTAAAAATCATTAATGCAACAGTTCTTGACAGATATACCTAAAATTAGGCATACTATAATCAAGGAGGTTTAAAATCTATAATCATACAGTTCTTACAGAAAAAATAGAAATACTGCTAAGTAGTCAATACTACAATTTTCACATCAATTTAAACAAATAGTACTCAAATTTTTTTCATCTCAATTTCGGATTTTCACACACTTGATCACTCATCATCAAACATTACATCATTATCAGATCTTAGATCTGCCTTATCTCTTTATAACTTGAAGTTGTGAACACAACAAAACCTTAACAGTAATGCACCTGGGTGAAAAGCGTACCCATTCAGCTGATCGGTTTGTACCCTGAGTATGCCCAATGGAATTCCTAACCTACATATGACATGAAACTGCACATCTGCATTCTAGAATCACCATTATCATTCCCCCCCCCCTCCAGTTTCAGGGTGAGAAATGTCGATGTTGTAAAATACTTATAGTGTGACCTGAGAAGAGAGTAAGGAAGCTAGTATGTATGCATATGACACCTTGGTCTATTGGTTGCCTGATTTATAAAATGCACATTAAAACTTAATAAGAGATTACTGTACTTCCTATATATCCATGAGATTCCTAACATGGAAGGAGCAAAAGCTACTGATGCCTTCTTAAACGAAAACAGACTTTTGAATGGCCCGTCCCTGCAGTTTTGACTATGAGTGTCATGGATTGTAGCCAATCACATTCTACAAATATTAAATTTCACACTGACTACTTGGTGCAGTACCAAGGAAATTTTCAGAAAGTTGAGGTCACTGAGATTGTGTTTATCAAGCTGAACACTAAGAGCAACTGCTACAATTTCCTGAAGAAAATAGATCTGAAATGTTTTCCTAACAGCCACAAAATTAAATCAACAATTCGTCCCTGATTGTCCTATTATTTACAAACATCTAAAAATCATCCGTCAGAAGTTATGCCATGAAAAAGAATTAACAGCTTCTAGAGATCCAATAATATATTAGTCTTCACATACATGATTGTGCATTCCCAACTTGAAATGTGAGTTTACTGTAGATGAGTTACTAAGAAATTATATCTTTTATTCCAAATTTTATACTTCTCTTTCAGATATAAACGTGGACTCCATACATTCACAATTTGTTTACTAATGAGTGTACAAATGCATAGAAAGCTGAGGAATATATCTCTTTATATCAAAATCAAAGGAGAGAACTGTCCTACTCAGAGAACCAGTCTTTGTGTTTTGGCTTCTTTTGCAAAAAGTCGCTTCTCAGCAGGCGGAAAAACAGGAAGACGTTGATGATGGTCATGATCGCAAGGCCAACACTTCCGAGAGTGAAGGGAATGATGGGAACTGCGTCGCGATTGATGACGATCCATCTCGTCATCCACGCTAGCGTACAGATCCGGAACAAGATGTACATCCCGATGTTGATCATGCTGTTTGTACGGTATATAACGTTCCGTTTGCTGACGCCGCCCATGTGTAAGAGTTGTCGAATGTGTAGGAACGCACTGCTGAGTTCTATAGTCAGGGCCACCAGAGCAAACCCAGTGTACAGCTTGGTGACGACAGCACAACCAAAGCATGATATGACCTGAAGGGAACAAAAACAATTTGGAAATAAGTATGTCATAACGGTAGTAATGCCTATTTGTCATCAAATCAGCTGTAAATGCAAAGAGGACAGGTTTTATGTTATATTGTATCTAGTCTTCATTCTAATTTGGAAAAAGGATGATATCTTAACAAACCTTAAACTCTATCAATTATGACATACGAAGCATAAGTAGTAAATGCCTCCCTTGCTCTCTAGACAATTTTTTAAAGGGATGGGCTGTAATTTGTTTTCTAATTTTGGGGTACGATAGCCTGGTTGGGCTTTAGTCTGCTCCATTTGTTGCTACCCCATTGCACTGAATTCTAATGATATGCAAATGCCAAACACTCGAAGTGAAACTGGGGCCAAACATGTTGGCAGGAGCAAACAGTTGGAGTGGAGGACACAGTTGTGTTGTGTGCTTGGTCTGAGGATAAAGCCTGTATTGCATTGTTACAATGTCAATGAATAACCCGGCCTCCTCCTGCTAAAAGGTCACAACCCCAGAAAAAAGGTCTGCACAAAGGGCATTCTCACCAGGTGACCTAGATTTTATATGGTCTTCAAACAGTGCTTCAGCTGGCCACTACTTCTCCTTTTGAATAAATCATCTTTAGATCTAATGTTGCTATAAAGCACAAATGTTTACGTTGTACCAATACATTTTTAACATGCAGATGTTTCCTTTCAATTCTCTATTTCAAACACTGTAATATCTGCTGACAGATCAAATTCTGCTGGGTACCCTTACACCACCATATTTTAAAAAAATGCAAATTCAATGGGTACCTTATCAAGGCCTTCTCAAGAATGTTTTGAACACTTGGATATCTGAAGTGTGCATACCTTGGGGGATGCCACATGAAAAAGGATTGATAGAGGGTCCCTCCCATCTGGTATTAGCCTCACAGAGATGAAATAAGAGATAAAGACTGACTCATATCCTGAGTGTCAAAACATAATTTAGCTTGACAAGACAGGGCTGCTTTACTTTAAAAGGGGTGTGGTCCCTGTTCTGGCATGCATATACTGTTGTTGGGTTGGGTTGGGTTAGCGAGGGTGCCATACTGGTTAGTTTATGCTGACTCCAAGCTAACTATGATGGCACCAAGGCTTGGGTTGGGTAGTTAGATCAGATACAAAGTTTTGCAACAACTATTAGCAACAACTATTAGTAAGCAGAAGTTAGCACTTCTGTGTTTGTCACTTTTGCCGACCATTGGGGTTTACAAAGGATACAATGGCGAGAAACACTTCTTCAGTCAGAAAGAAAAACAACGTCAATGGAAGGAATACTGCAAACAACATGCCAATTACATGACACGGACACCTTATTAGGTCCTCTGACCCATAGCTCTGCTACCACCTTGGAGTACTAAATCCCTTCACTCAAACTTGGACTGCAGCCAATCAGACACACCCTCTTATTCTACTGGTGCCAACAGCCAATCAGACACACCCTTTTTTTACTGGTGCCAACGTGCCGGGCAACTTTCCAACGCCCTCTTACATGTTCACTCTCACGTCCACAAACAACCTCTCCCATTTCATCGCCTGCATTCCTTCTCCATACATAAAGTAAAAGCCTTCTAACAGAAAAAAAAACAAAAGAGGGGAAATACATACTGTAGTACAAAAGAGTGCTTTAAGACATTTATCTATTGTTACATTCCAGTATAGTTTTTTTTAAATCCATTTTCAGCAACATTACATGGCATTGATTAGTTCTGCTGGGGGTAGGCATTCCCACTTTTGCATGCATCTGGATTGTCAAAGGATCATGTTATACAAGGAGTAAAGCCTTGACCTTAGTGCCAGGGTCAAGGTGTATTTGTTTGTTTTGTCATAGGGTGAGTCACTATTTGCTGTGTTACTGTCTACATTCTTCACTGTTTTGCCAACAACTGTGCAGCATGCTACAAGATTCTTGAGCCCAGGCAGAGCAGCTAACAACAAAGATGACATTATCAACTTGTCAACAATCTACACATGTAGCTGTGTCATAATTCTCTCTTTCTTGTCCCTTCCAGTTTGAGATAAGTTACTTAACAAGCCAATAGTGATATCTTAACACACAGTAACCAGACTTCATTATGCCTTTGTGCTAGTTTGCTTGGCTTAACCTCGAGCCCTCAGAGAAGCTTTAGTAAGTCAGCAAGTCAGTGCAGAGTTTTCTGTGAAACTGTAGAGTTGGTAAAGTGGTTTGCAAACTGGGTTAACTGATGGAAACATGGACTAGGTCTACTGAATCCTGACTACCAGGATCAACACAGCAGCTCAAGTAAGTGCGCTTCGTGGACAATAATGAAAAGAAAAAAACAACAAAGTTTTTTTTTTTACCTTCCGGGCCTTTATCACATGTTGCACACAAGGTACATTATAACTGTCTAATGACATCATCCATTTTAAAGTATGCCAAAGTTACTTCCTGTCTTTCAAATAACCTTTGACTTGCACAACACCACAGAATATACTATACAATAGTAATACCATTATTCTTAACTTTGGTTGTACTTTGGTTGTAAAATGAACTTACCGTGATGTGATGAAGAACAAGCTCCCAGTGAGACATTGCCTTCTTGCTTACAAACAAATCTAGGACATCGTACATAAAATAACCTGGAAAAAATATAACAAGCAATTACTTGACACCATTTCATTACTGCAGATACTCTTATGTTACCTGAGGTGAAAATCGACAAACATTGAAAATTACTGATCAACAATGAAAGGCTGTTTTAAGCAAAAGAATGCCTTTATAATACATGTATAATATCAATGTAATAATATACAAACCTACCTGTAGACAATGACACCAGTAGATGGGAGGGCATAGTAACAGGTGTGATCAAGTCTTTGGTCATGTCTGGTGCAAGGTAAAAACTGAGGAGAAAAGTCGGGAAAAAGTATTAGAAAATTTATGCGGACAAAGCAAAACAAGATATTAAATTGGTCTGGCCCGGGGACAATGAGCTAAATTATGTTATAATTGCGAGAGGACTGTTACCTGGGTGCTGGGAGGAATCTTGATGAGCTCTTTCATGGTGTTATCGACAAAGATACAATCTTTGAATACTACTCTGTCTTCTGCGTAAGTCGAATCTTGATAAAATCGTACACGCGTTGTTTATCTATCTAGTAGTGCGTCTAGTGCGTCAAACAGATTAGTAGATAATCTACTAATCTGTTTGACGCACTAATTCCCTAAGCTCCTTCATCAACCGATGGGGGATGATCATAAATTATGCCTACAATGAGAAGTGTCGTTTCGTTGCCCTCTTTAAGTTTCCTAAAGCAAAAAATGTTTTAATATGAACAGGAATTTCTTTCGGCAATCGCCCAGAATATTTGTCTTCTTATGCGTTACAAAGCTCAAACTGGACAATAGACGAAATTAACTGACCGGCGACCTCATTAAAAGGACACCTCATAACAAAGCGCCAAGACGGAGTGTTCCTTACTGTGTTACGGTCCATTTCGTTTGCGATCGACACTTTTAGGGTGACAGAACGATACAATTCCCAACAATTAAAAACACATGTCTTCCATGTAGTTTTCCAGAAGCGGAAACATCTTCAGTGATTTTCAACAGGAGATAACGTTTCTTTAGTATGGCAGTAACGCTAAAAACAACGGGACAGGCACAAGGTGCGGCAAGATCTTCCCTCTAGATCTAACTTTAGTCCAGAACCCGCCTGAGCATCGCACTTCCTTATTTGAAGACGATCTCAAGCCCTGCTGCGGAAGACATTCTCAAGAGGTAGCGAGGCGTGGGGCGGGTTTGTTTACTCACCACAGCAGAGCGCCAAGACCCGTCAGCGAGCTGTGGACGAGCGACACGAAAGTGTTGGTCCACTTCCAGGGGTTCCGCACACTTCTCGGCATGGGAAGCCTCAAAAACGTTCTGCTGATCATGCCGAACACTACCATGGACGTGACGGCCACAGAAGGCCCCACGATCCCGCTTTCCACGCTCATAATGCCAGAGTTTTCTCGGAGGTAAACAACGCGTCTTGAAGGAAATCCTCCTCCACTCTAGCCCACGCTCCAGTCCGCGCCCAAAGCAGATTTGATTCTGGTCACATGGTCAGAGATTGGTTGAGTAACAGGACGGGTCAAAGTTCAACAGGGCTTGTGTTATGCAACTTAGCCTCGACAGCAGCCTTCTCGGAGGATCCACGGTTAATCAACAGGGCACAGTGTTCACAACCATTATGTTCGATATATGTATAAAACTATAGTTCTAAAGTCACATGTATAAAAGTGTAGTATTGAAGCTATCTTTATAAAACTAAAGCATTAAAGCTAGTCTCCATAGCAATCTCTACAAAGGGCTGGTTCGTGTTTAAAGAATCATTGCATAAGGGGGCAAGGTGTGTTTGTATCATGATTATGTAAGGAAAACGGTTCAATAGGATTGCACCGTATTTGGGTCATGAGAATAATCTCCTTATCGGGCTTGTGTTGTATTGAAGGATCGGTTGTGTAACAGCATAAAGATGTTTATAGTAGTTGCGTAAGGTATTGTTATACGTCATAGTGGTCGAGGAAGGATGCAAAGTACAACAGCTACCGTGCACACTGGAAGTACGCACCGCGGCCGTGCTCAAATTAAAGTCTTCGCTCCGTCGCACACTTACCAGATAATGGTGGCATTCATTCAATACTATATGGTATGGGGTATTATATGTATATATGTGACACTACACGTATCTTGATTTAATTTTTGGTTCCCATTGGCTAGTATTGAAAAAGAATTTGTAGTGAACTTTTCATAATCGAAGCACCAACGCGCCGGAGAATGGCCTTGGAGTTGTGTAAGAGGGGGCGGGGCATCGTCACATTGCATATTCGACGGATACCATTACTTTTGTTATAGTACGTGTTAATGTATTGACATAAATCTGAAATAACTTATGGTGAACTTTATAATTGAAGTAAAGTTCAAGCCTAGATTGCCATGAGGAGTTGCTAACATGTTCTAGAAGGTTGTTTATGGGGTTGTTTGTCAATCTGGGGACAATTAATTAAGGTTACGGTATTTCAAGTTTCCAGTCCTTGTGTTATGGCTTAGTGGTTGAAAAATTGTTTTGCTTGGCAAGCAATTACAGTATGCCATTGATTGGACGTCGTGTGCTTGTACCAGGGACAGGCATGCCTGTATGTTTGATGATCAGTGCCTGGGACAGGCATGGCTTTGTGTTAGTTGTTCAGTACCAGGGACAGGGATGGTTTGTTAGTTGTTCAGCACCAGGGACAGGGATGGTGTGTTAGGTGTTCAGTACCAGGGACAGGGGAGGTGTGTTAGTTGTTCAACACCAGGGACAGGGATGGTGTGTTAGTTGTTCAGCACCAGGGACAGTGTGTTAGGTGTTCAGTACCAGGGACAGGGATGGTGTGTTAGTTGTTCAGTACCAGGGACAGGCATACCTGTATGTTTGATGATCAGTGCCTGGGACAGGCATAGCTTTGTTAGTTGTTCAGCACCAAGGACAGGGATGGTGTGTTAGGTTTTCAGCACCAGGGCAGGGACATGCATAGTTGTTTGTTGCATGTTCAGCACTAAGGGCAGGCATGCTTTTGTGTTAAAGAATGAGGATATAATGTCTACCTGTACAATACTTTTTTGCAGATAACATTTTCCTGCTCTAAGTTTTGCATGTTTCCTGCCATACCTACCGAGTTGGAATCATCAGTGGATCACACCTCACTTTCTCATCAAGCCCATCTTAGGCACTGCAGCAAAGTTGGTACAGATTCTTACAGAAAAGTTTAGCAAAACACCGGACAAATGAGGATGAAATGATATATTTTTGTTTACTAATATGTTCAACATATATGTATACATCAACATTAACATTGTCAAAATATTGTCTATAGGGACCACATTTCTACAAAATACTATGATATGTGTACAAAGTACATGTAGTAAGATTTGCATGTTACAAAACCACCGAAGTGAGGTGGAAGATTAAACATTTCCTATTGCTTAATTCTTTTTAACCAAATGGAATGACCATTCTGTGCTTGTGAAAGAAACAACTTGAACACCACATCTTTGCATTTTTTCAAAAATGTCCACAGCATGAAACTGTTTTGGTTGTAGAATATTTGTAGTGGTCCAAACAAATTGAAAGATATAGATTATGCATGTCCACGACATAAGCTTCTTTTCAGACATGTCTAACATATCAAATCACAAATTGCACTTGCATCACTTCAGAAGAGATGCTCTGTAAGCTAAACTATGGATTTAACGGAAAATTAAATCATCAAGTAAATTATGTCTTCATATTCCAGACTTGATTAATACAATTTTCAAACTGAATTAAATACATTATATAAGTCATAACATGACAACAGGTGTATCATATGAAATATGTTTGAAATAAGCAAATCATAACAGATGTACTGTCATCATGTACATGTAAAATCAACATTTCTAATAACTGATTATTAGCTCATTGAACACCAGTACTAATTTGTGCAACATTATGTGCATAGGCGTAAAATATGTATGTACAAATAGCAGAGTGACATTGGATCTTTGTGTGTCCTAGTGTTTTCCCTTCTTCTTTTCGTAGGATTTCGACTGTTTTAGATCCTTTGCACCTGACAAGTCATATGTAAATGTCTTCTTCTGTCCAGCTGCTTTTTCTTTTTTAATAACCTTGAAAAGAAAAGAAAAGAAAAAAATGAGTCAATAAAAATATGATCAGAACAAAATGAAAATATTATGGCTGACACATATAACATAAACTTACAGGACCATATTCAACGACAGTACTAATTGTATACTCTCCAAGCGGATGTTGCATTGGGAGATGGTTACCACCTAATTTGCCATTTTCTGACAGCCATCCATTCAACAGAGAACTAGTGGTCAGGACTTGGCAGCCTAAAACCATCACAATTTTGTCCCTAAAGATCTGCTTGGAGATTTGAGTTCTTGAGTAAGTCGAGTACTCACCCCTTTCATGACCCTGTTCTTCAGTTCACTCTGTGTGAGCGGTCTCTGGTCTTCATCACTTGGCTGGGCAGAATCATCACTGTCATAGTCATCCCTGTAAAATACCAATTTGTCAACAAATGTCTGTATAGCTGATTTTCACTTCCTTTGGAAAGTACATGTCAGATGGTGGTATTCTAACAAAGACACTGACACACTTACAAGCAATTGAAGGGAATTTTACATTGTCTGAGAATGTTGACGACATATACTTACCCAGTAGTGGGAGGTTCTATTTGCAGAGGAGGGGGTGGTTTGGTTGGTCCCTCCCCGAGAAGACTGTTGAGTTTGGGGTCGTATGGTCTCTCGTAGTCCTGAAAAAAGTAATGGAATAAATGGCAATGAAACAATGACACTCACTCACTCTGACATTAAATCTTTCAAATCAAGTCATATTTCATATGGCTATAATTTTTTTCACCATTGTATTAAAGACCAACTCAATTCTTCTTTGACATTATCTCTCCAACGCTGATTCCTACTTCACTGACCTTTGACATGAGGTATGCTTGAGATGCTAACAGCTCATTGGTCCTCTCCTCGATGACCCCCAGGTATTGCATCATGTTGTCGTTTCTGACGCCCTCCGTCCCCCCCAACATGTCCTGCAGAGCTGTCCGGTCACAGCTCAGCTTGTCAAAGAGCGAGTTTATCCCTGTTCACGATGAAGAAAGGGAGGGAGAGTAAAAATAGTGAGATATTTTCTGTTTTCTTCCTACTCTGTTTTACTCGTTGCTCTGAGAAAAGTTACAGGTTCAGACAATTTCCTTTAAAAAATATTTCATGAATAACCTGGAAAACAATTTTCATGAAATTATCATTCAGAAGACAGGATAAATATTCATTTACCCCATTTGTCCATAGCACTGGTGCAAAAGAATTTTCTTGTAAGGTGTTTTCCAAGGCCACAAGTTTCACCATTCAGCTCATCAGATTGTCAAACCAAAATCGCATACATCAGTGACATCCAGGTAATAAGATAATTTTACCAAAAAAACAGTTACTCAAGCAAGTGGATAATTTTCTTTCAACTAACTGTTTTCAAGTAATTGTTTTTTGGCAAAGTTGCATCTTTACAGCATATCGTGCCTACCTGCTTTCAGCTGGTCCAGGATCTTGTTGATGGCCTTGCTCCTCTCGTCGTGTTCGTTGGCAGTCTTGCCCGCCGTCTCCGACTGCTCCTCCAGGTCCTTCAGGATGAGCTGCCGCTGCTGCTCAATGGACACACCCTGCTGCTGGAACCGCTTGATCTCCTCCTGGATCTGGGAATACCAATTTGCATAATTTATGCTAATTCTGAATAATTTATGCTAATCTTACCAGAGTTCATGCAGCTTGGTTATTAAATGATGGTTCAAATTTCTGTCATGCCATTTCTAGTCAGAATTTAGCTTCTTGTACTGTAGAAAAAAGTTAAGAAAGTTTCTGCTGAATCTAGTCTGCAAGATGTTTCATGGTGAAACAGTGAAAAAAGGACAACAATACTACATAGTATTATGTTATTCTAGTGGATATGTTTACAGTTTGATTACTCAAACTTCAAACAAAAAAGGCATATGAATAAAGATGTTCCTACCTCTTCAATTTCATCATGAAGCTTCTCCAGCTCATTGTTCTGCTCATTCACGTAGTTGAAAAGTGCAAAGTTTCGATCCTCCGCTGTAGAAAACACAGAAAAATTAGGATCTACAGAATGGACAAAAACTGACAGCTCTCAAACTTTTAGAAAGTCAAATTTCAAGTAACAAAATGTCAGACTCTACTATCTGAAGACTCATTACTTTGTTTTTGATGATGTCAAAATAGATCACTGTTCCTCACTTTCAATAAACTTTTCCACCAGGAGGTCCAGGTCCTCTTCCCCTGTAACTTCACGAATCTTCATGAAAGCTTCCTCGTAGGTCTCCACACTCTCCTCCTTAGCTTCCTTCTTCTTACGCTCTGCTTCCTCCATTTCTGTTATAAAATGCACAAAGAAGTGTCACACAACAATGAGAAAGTCTGGATAGTACTAACCTTAACATGGATTATTTTACAATATAATACCACAGTCAGACAAAACCATTACCTGTATATTTTCCTCAGGTTGATGATTTAATGTATATATTTGAGTACTTTGCTACACAATTTAAAGTTCTATATCTGCTAATATTTTTAATCTGCCAACTCCTCAGTCTACTTCTACAAGGATATGATGGACTTCTTCTCCTTGCTTCTACTTCTTGCCTTGGGCCTGACACAACTTGGAAACACCCAAGAGGAAGGTGGGGAAGAACAGGCCTGTCACACACTTTAGGATGCCTACAGACGTTTGGTTGATTGATTGGTTGATTAATACTGACCCCTCTTAATCCTCTGTGCCCGCGCCTGTTCGTCCTCCTCCCTCTCCATGGTCTTGATGCCCATGAACTCCTTCAGTTTCCTGTCATGGTCGATGACCCGCTGCAGCTCCTTGGTCTCCTGCGTGTGCTGCGCCAGGTCCTTGTCTGCCTTCTCCTTCAGCAGGATCATCTTGGCCTGCGCCTCGTCACGCGAGTCGTACGCCGCCGTGGAACTCTCAATGGTCTCCCCGATCTCCTTCCTAGTGTCTTTCAGTTCCTAGAAAACCATTAAAACCATTAGACAACAGGCATGCTAGTTTAGGCAGACCTTGCACAACCTACATACATTACCTGTGTGAGGATGCGGGTTGCAGACCAGAAGACCTGCCCAGTACTTTGGAGGATAGTGCTATGGGCTGGCAGAAAAGAGTCGTGAACAACCCTGAAACTGATGATGAGACAATGGAATATCAATGTAATAACAATGGGATTTAATCTAACAACCATACCACAATACGTGTATTCTTTCAACTTTCACAAAACATTCATCATACTACTGAATGGACTAAAATGCTACTACTCCCTCAACATCATCTTACCTTGTCCAGCTTCTTGAACAGCTGCTCAAATCTGGCCCTCTCAGTTCGGAGACTGTCAATCTCTTCCCTCAGTTTTGCATTCCTCGTCAGTGCCTCATTAAAACCCTTCGTACTCTGAAACATATACGACAATCATTTTACAACTACTACATGAATCAGAGGAAATGTGGAACAAAAAAAAACTACTCAAAAATGTCATTTACCAAAAGGAATAAATTTTTGTTCAACTCAAAGAACATTTTCTCAACATTTTTTAAAAACATTGTTGGACCACTTACCCTGTCCAGCCTGTTCTCCAGGACCCTCATCTGCTTGCGAACCTTGACCTCGTGCTCACGGCCGATGTTGCTGCCTCCCATCGACTTCCGCTGGCTGTCCACTTTCCTCTCCCACTTACGGATCTGGGGGGCAATTTTATTGGAAATATTCAATGGTACTGCAACTTTTTCACATTCATTCAACACTAAACATAACACTGGATCGTTTCAAAATGTGTACTTCTGGACAACCTGATGAGAAATTCAACAAGAAATGAATCCATAGTTACCTCAATGTCAAGTTCAGCAATTCTCTCCTTTTCAGCTTCGATGGCTGATCCATATTCATCTGCAATGACAACATCATATTTTTAAAAAGTGCACTTCACTCAATGTAATCTTTAATCTCAGATGTAAAAGGTTTTATGACATAAATAAAAACATGTACCAGTAACTTTCTAACTGCCTAATCAATACTACTTTTGTGCCAAAAGGCTGTCTTTGTATAGAAAGTGTTAAGCAGCAAGATTACTGGCTGGTGATCTGTAAGACAGCACCTTTAGCAGCCACCAGGTTCTTCAGGACATCCTTGTTCTCCTCGTCCTTGACCTTGTTGAACTTGCTGCGGGACAGCTTCAGGTCCTTGAACAGCTCGTTCTGTTCTGCTTGCAGCTTGTCAATCTCGGCCCTACACAACAACAATGACAAAAACATTGATATCTGTAATTGCTATCTGTGATTGCTATCTGCCACGTGTCTGCGAAGCTGGTGTGTTACGCCAAAGGGTGGTTATACCAGCTATAACGATACAGATCTGTGCTCCTGAAACATCACCAAAAGTAGCATCCTAAATAGTTCTCGCAGCTTCCTATATGCCTCATAAAATGAAAACACTTCATCATCAGGTATCTGTTGAAAAAGTTACTCTACCTTTGTCTGCGAATCAAATCCTGCGACTCCACACTGTATGCCTGACGATCCCCCTCCATAATACGGTACTGACGCTGGAGCTTCGCCAGCTCACTTTCAGCTGAAAAACAGTTTCAGGAAATTATGGAATCAATCTTTTGCAAGTTGATGTGTGTTAAACAAACTTATAAAATTCAATGAAATTCACATCCTATGCATTAAGCAAGCTAGAAACAGTAAACTTACCCAGTCCCTCCATGTCGTCCACCTCACTTGCATCGGAGCGGCGGCCTGCGGAATGTCTGCGTGGCATGGTTTCACTTCAACTCAGCAGCCTCTCAGGAAAAAAATCTGACAGAAAAAAAGCAAATCACCTTCGTGAGCACTGTATAAGTTAATGGGTTACTGGTATATTGGATGTGAACAAAGAACCTTAAGTTAATACCCTAACAGAAACTTTTTGTCAGACCAGGCAACTTCTGAACCACCTGTTTTGGGATCTCCAACATCATCCTATCCATAATCTGTCACTTTTCACAACCAAAAAAGAAAACAGCTGGCATAGGGTGGGGAGGTAATTTGGCTCTTTATAGAGTATTTAAATGAACCACAGAAATTATAGAATGGTACTTTAATGAAGTTGCATTAAGATTTTGATGAAGCCATCTAACTTACAATCAGTGGCAAGTCGGGGTAGAATTCCCTATGATTACTTAAAATAAATCACAATCTACACTCTTAGTCTACACAGCTCTTTGGCTGACAATCCTGAATCACACAACTTCTACCTGCCCCCCTCCCTCTTCCAACTTCAGCTATATCGGTTTATAATATACCCGATTTTGTAGCGTCTTGATCGACTTAATTCTCGTAATCAAGCTGCCGTCTAACGAGATACTGTCACCAGACCCCTTGCTGTTCCTTTGAGGCGCCGGTGTTACCTGTTTCCGAGTGTTGTTTCCGAGCTTGTAACCGTACAAAAGGGAACAGGTGTAAACAATACGGCTTCCTTTGTGAAGTCGTAACCCGAGGCGATGTCACAACAATCGCCTTTAAGGAATAATAATTGAAGGGTCATTAGTGTTACCCACGGGAAATTATTCCTCTGGTGATAGCAAATCATAATGATATGGAGTGGACCAGCTTTTGGCCAAGACAAACGCCTTAATATGGGTAAAACGATACACGTTCCTCCAAAATGGCGACCTCGAGAAATTACCAGATTTCTTTCTTGTGCCCGAGCCAAATTCAATCAATTATAGATGCGATTTTCTTTGTCAAATTTGCAAGTCATGCATGGAGTCTTTAGAAACCAGATTTTGCAAGTTCTCGTTGAATTTGTTAACGTTATCTGACCAGCAAAACGTGACATGTTTTTGTTTTGGGTACAGATTTTGGGCACTGAAACATCATGCTCAGTCACGCCGAAATATGCCTTTAGGGGCCATCGTCACAGGAATATGGTAACAAGATTTAGGTACTGTCTTACCTGAAATTACGACGTAACAGACGATAAGCTCACGACAGAGGCTCTAGACAGCAATGGTAATCACAAATGGCGAGAAACTCTGCATAAGCATCGGTCACAACTCTGTGTCGTAGCACTAAAGCACACAAACTGTTGTCGTTGTCAAGGCGACCGCTGTGCAAATACCTCTTCAAGTCCGCATCACTGAGCAAAGAAGGCCCCCAAACTAGGGTGTCCGCCGTAGCGAGCTTTCTCCCTGAAAACCTGTGCCTACTTTACCGTTTGCAATACATCCTTACGCGTTATTTTCCCAAATGGAAAAGAAAAAGAAGCCCTTTATATCTATCATCTAGAATAGTTAGGTGTTTAGTGTCATCATCTGATGGTACATTATAACTTTTACGTGATGTTTACATCAGGCAAAACATTGTAATATTGTGGTCTGTCTTGGCGGGAAATTGGCATAGATACGCTTTGTCAAATTTAAATTGCATGGCGAATTGCAAGAAGTTTGTCCTATGAGATACAGATGTATATTGGAACATGCTTATTTTCTGAAATAACATATTGCCATAAGACAATTATCATTGATAGCGCTTTCATTCTTACCAAGGAAACCATACGGAATATAACAGTTATATAGATAACGCATGATATCAATGCACACAGCATGACTTATATGCGTGACCTATTACATAGCATTATCATCCACGTGTAACAATGAAAATTGATT